CTAAATCATAGTTTAGACATTTTTAGTTTTAATTCCACTGTGGAATGAATATCAATGCTTTATTTACAGTGAGCCTCCACCTGCTCTAAGGAGAACAGTCAGGAATTTACAGGTATTTCTTCTTATTCATTCACAAACATAAACGTCACAGGCACAGGCATTTTTCCCAACCCCAACAGTCCTTGAGAAATTGGTGCTCGGTTACTTTCTTGAACTTGGTGTGTATCAACTGCCTGGTTTATTAAGCCATTTGAGAGGGAGGTGAGGATCAACCACGCTGTTGCGCATTTACAGCCACATATAGATCAAACCACTTCCTTTCCTAACAGGCAGTAGTGAGCTAGTTGAAGTTCCGTGACAATCTTTTAGCTACAATTACTGATACCTGCTTTGTAATACCAGATTTATTTAATGAATTGAATTTTTCAACAGCTATGACAGAATTTGACTTTGCAAGTTTTAGTCTGCATACTCATTCAGCAGCATAATGAGCAATGATTATGCTGCTGTATTCATAGGACTGTCAGGCCATATATCCTTGGAGCAGCCAGGTGAACAGAAAATTCCACTCCTGACAACACAAATAGGATTGTAACTTAGAGTCAAAGGGTGTCTCCTAACTTTCAAATTAACAATGGCCATGATTTGTGTGATGGTTAAACATAGATTCAGAGTATTTTGGTCAGCCTCTGGTGGCATTGCTCACCATGACACAAGGTTAAGTTTATCAGGAATGTGGTGGAGGGTGGGGAGTTAGCAGTGAAAAAAAAAAATTACACTTACATAGAATTTTTATGATCTCAGGAGTCTCCAAATTTTTTTAAAGCCTTCTAATTTCTGTAGAAGTGTGGTCATTGTTGAAACGTAATAGAAATATAGACCAAGGAAGCCAATTTGCACACAGGAAGTTTCCAACTCAAGGTAAATAAACTGATCATCTGTTTCTAGTGACATTGCTTGAGGAGTAAATATTGGCGAGGACACTAGGACCTCCTTCAGTCTTTGAATAGTACCATGCAACCTTCCAAATTTTTCCAAGAGAGCACATGAGGCTTTGGTATAATGTCTCATCTAAAATATAGGTTGTTAGTGTAGGCATTGACCTAGTGGTATTATTGCTAGACTATTAATCCAGTGACCCAGGTGATGTTCTGGGGTCCTGGGATCAAATCCCAACATGGCAGATGGTGAAGTTTGAAGTCGACAAAAATCTGGAATTAAGAATCTAATGATGACTCATGAAACTGACCATGATACTTTACAGACTTTTAAACTACTCTTGGATAGGCACATGGAGGATAGTAAAATGTAGGGAATGCAGGGTAGATTGATCTTAGTAGGATAATAGGTCGGCACAACATCGTCGGCCGAAGGGCCTGTACTGTTCTATGTTCTATGTAAACCATTGTTGATTGTCCATAAAAATCCATCTGGATCACTAATGTTCTTTAGGGAAGGAAGCTGTTGGTCTGGGCTATATGTGGCTCCAAGCCCATGCATTGTGGTTGACTCTTAACTACCCTCTGGGCAATAGGAATGGGCCTAGCCATAAGTGTGGGCCTAGCCAGCAACACCCTAATACCATAAATGATTTTTTTTTTTAAAAAATGGTTATGGCAGAAGCGGTTTTGGCATTGGATTAGCAAATTAGCAAATTAGCAAATAGTTGTGATTTCAAAGCCCAAATTGAATCCTGGTCACTTGTTCATCACATATGCCTATGAGAACCTAGTTTTGGCAACGCCACTGATCAATCAGTACTCAATGTGAATTAAGCTGAGATATGCAAATAACAGGAAAAGTACTACACAATGTAGAGAATGAAGAAGTGAAATCACTGCTTCATTTTGTCATTTGCAGTGGTGTATTTTGTGACTTCTTTCCCCTCAACCCCTCAGCTTCTTTTTTCAGCACAAATTTCCAGGGTTGGAACTTAATAAAGTTAACGGCCCAACAGAAGGGGTCCTTGCTAAATGCTGGGGCCAGCAATTGATTTCCTGTGAGAGTTAAAGGCAAAGAAAGGGAGTGAATACGAAGGAGTAAATGGGATGCAGAAAAGTCATAGAATTATAGAGTATATAGCACAGAAACAGACCCTTCGGTCCAACCAGTCAATGCCAAACATAATCCCAAACTAAACTAGTCCTACCTGCCTGCTCCTGGCCCATATCCCTCCAAAACTTTCCTATTCACGTACCTATCCAAATGTCTTTTAAAAGTTGTAATCTATAATTACCAAGAAAGAAATATAGGAGAAAATAATGACTTGATTAAGATAGAAAAGAAACTGGAAGGAAAACAAAAAGAATACTTTTAAATTTAAAAGCATCTTCCAGAACTAGTTTACTACTTGTAGGAATGAACTTATAGCTGTTTCAATTATTCTAAGTAAGTATTTAATGTCATTGCAAGAACAGAAATCTCATCATTAAAAGGAGTGTTTACATCATTGGATAATAGGCTTAAATTTCTGCAATAAGTTTAGTTTGTTTTCATGGCAAGCATGTGGTACTTTCTTGCAATTCACAAAGAAGTGTGCGTGAACTTGTGACTGTAAACTTAATTGTGCAAATCATCCAGCAATTTAACGCATTTCGCCGATCACTGAGTAACTCTTCCTCATCATAAATTTTGAATATTTAAAAAAAAACACACTTAACTCATTACTATTTTCCCAGCAATTTCTGAGAAGCCTGTTTATTCAATATCACGCTCTCCACTATTAGATCCTAATGGCAGTCTTTTTCTTGAATTTTCTGCCTGCATGCAGCTGTAACCCAATTTGCTGTGAGCTCCACCATGGGTAAGGCGAGTAAGTTGGTCTCAAATCAACCCCAGCCAGAACGGTGATCGAATCCCATGCTGTTGGCATCAGTGTGATTCATGCCAGCCATCCAGCCAACTAAGGCAACCACAACCCCTCCACCCCATCCCCAGCCCAGGATTCCAGAATATTCTGTCAGTGCACTGTCAACTCCAAAGTGCCATCACGCAAAAATATATATTTTACGATAGGCAATAGCCTAGGGATATTATTGCTAGACTATTAATCCAGAGACCCATGTAATGTTAGGGGGACCAGGCAGATGGTGGAATTTGAATTTAATAATAATCTGGAAATAGAGTTTAATGATGACCGTGAAACCATTGTCAATTCATTGGTGGAAGCAGTGAAAGCAGGCCATTCAGCCCATTGAATTCACACCATCCGTATGAACAGCACTGCATCCAGGCCCACACCACCCCCCACCCCCACACTCCTGTAAACCTGCATTTACCTTGGCTAATCCACCTAATCTGCACATCTTTGGACTACGGGAGAAAACCAGTGCACTTGGAGAACATGCAAACTTCACACATACAGATACCCGAGGGTGGAGTCAAACCCAGGTCCCTGGCGCTGTGAGGCAGCAGCGTTAACCACTGTGCCATCGTGCTGCCCTTTTACCACCCAGGAAAAAAAACTCAGCTGGTTCACTAATGTCCTTTAAGGAAGGAAACTGCCATTCTCACCTGGACTGGCCTACATGTGACTCCAGCCCCACAGCAATGTAGCTGACTCTCAACTGCCCTCTGGGCAATTAGGGATGGAAATAAATGCTGTTTATGAATGAATATTTTTTTAAAAAACTACACGTCCACTTCGGCTTTTGGAGAAATTGTTCAAAGTGGATTTGCCTGTCACAAATCTCTTTAACTCAGTAATGCAGTAACCTACGGATACGTGAAGAGAGGAGAGAAGGCTGTAACATTGTGCAGAGTCCCTTAACAAATCAGATGTTTCTGATCACAGACAAAGATAGAATGAAAGACCAGACAGCTCTTGTGGCACAGTGGGAATGTTCTTATCTCTGAGCCAGGAGACCTGAGGTGAAGCCCCACTCACTCCAGAGGTGGCTAACAACATTCCAAAACAGGTTGATTGGCAAATATTGTGAATAAGGGGTTGCTGAGTTTAAGTAATAATACTTACCACAGTGCGATCTTTTCGATCACTCATATAATCTCTAATCGCCACACTCTGCATCATATAATACCTTTTCTATCTTTTTCTCTGGTCACATCTCCCCAACCCAATTCCAAAGTCTTCTTATAACTTAATTCTGACCATACCATCTGGGGGAGTTTCCACTGACCCCTGTTTAATGCCAAATATCTCCCTTTCCCGGCAGCCCCAGCAAATATATTGACCAAGTTGAAAAGTGAGTGGTCACCGCAGTCGGTGCTAATCTTAAAGAGCCTCTTCTTTGTCTAACTCAAGGGAATGAATCTTGGCAATGAACTAGTGATATCTCCCAGACAGTATGGTATTTCAAATGGAAGTAAACCAGTTAGAAATAGAAGATGTGAATTTCCTCTGTAAAGATCCCTGCCTCTTAATCGAGAGATGAAACACAACTGGGCTGATAATTTAAGAAAGAAAACATGTCTAAGCATATGCTAGGAACAGAAGGTGTACTTACAGCACTATGTAAATCGTTAAGGTACCAATGCTGTGCAAATCCATGTCTGTGTGAAATTAACTGGTAAACACATCACTGATGTGACATGGCTAAAATCTTAACCCTTCCATTTATCCTCTCAAAAGCAGTAACTCAGTTTGAACTCATTTCTAACTGTGTGACAATGGAGTTTCTCCCCACTTAATCCACCAGGCAGAGCTATCCACGTTTGCAAGTTATTTGGTTGGCCGTTAACAGCTGGATGAGCTTGTTCACCATTTCTCTGGTGTATTCTGTGCTACAGTGCCACCCAAAGTAATGAAATTTATTTCAATAAGTCGCACAATTCTTGGTGGTAGTTAAAGCACAATTGAAGTTGAATATCAAGTTGAACCTTCTATTGTTCAGATTACTCTTCCCTTACTCACCCAATCCTGTGACTTTTTTTTAAGAAGTATGCCCAGCTCATCTACATCCAAAGCTCACTAACGAAGGTATTTTGTACAAGACAGACACACAGAAAGAAAAAGATGGTGTAGAGTCCACAAATAAACTCACCTCTCTACCCCTGGACGCCGATCTCCAGGATGGTCCTGGAATTCCTCATGTAGCCACGGAGCTCAGTTCCTTGTACTGGGAATTCGGGTTTCAGCCAAAAGGTAAAGTAGGTCAACTCCCTTCTCACGGATCCTATCACAGTCGGCACCACAAATAGAGGTGGAAACTGGCTCAACTTTAAACTGCTGCTGGCCTCTTCTCAAAATTAAATCACAAAGGAATTGTCTTGAGCAGGATGCATCTTTTGTTGTTGTTTCTAGAGTCGGGGGTTAAAATTGGGCTTGGACTGTTCTCTGTTCGTTTTAATTATTTCCAGCCCAGTGGAAGTTCAGATTAACAAGGTTACTACCTGTGTGAAGGCAGGAGAGAGGAAAAGTAAACTTCTCTTGTAAGTTTCGTCCAAGCCGGCTCCTCAGTGCAGTTCCTGGTTTCTTGTCCCTATCACAGGTTGCCCCTGTTGCTGTTTCCCAGTTGCTGGCTCTATCACTAACCCCATCTTCCCTCCCCAGAGCTCAGCAACCTGCACTCACGCCCATAAGCGAACCTCTCACTCACTCTCTATTTTATCCGGTGCCAAGAAAATGTGTCCGCCGGGTCCTAGAGATCCTCGTCATATAAAAAGGCACAGATCCATTAACCCACCCAAGACCTGTCGCTTGCCTCTTTTACCTCTCGTTATTTACAGGAAGAACAGCCCTAAGGGTTCTTCTAGTGCAGTGATGTGTACTTACCTGTGAGCTAGGAGGCCTGGATTCATGTCCCACTGCTCAGGACGTGTGCCATGACATCTCTCAACAGGTTGATTAGAAAATATCGAAAATGTCCTTGCACGTATTACCTAATTTGAAGCTATCAAAAATAAACTCACTTTCAAATTGCACATTTAGCAGCCTTCAGCCACTATCCTTTTTACAGTTGTCTCGAGTGTTTGCATCGTATTTTTTTTAGTTTAATAAAATAATTTGAGGTGCAAAACTAGAACTTTGACAATACTTTGATTATTGATTAGTTAAATTAATTTTCAGTATATTTTGATAAAGATTTATCAAAAGTTGAATAGTGTAATTTATTATAGGAACCAGTTGGTCACTTAACTCGCTTGCACTGATTCACTGCCACGTTTATTCAAGACAAGAATACACTTCAAAAGTCACCCATTGATTGCTCTATAATAATTATTCAGGACCATTAAAGTTAATTGTTTATATTGTCAATGCAGACACCCAGATGTTCTCATGTTTTAATTTTACTTTTGCAGATTTACTCTGCACAAGAAATTGAAAGGAAATCTGTGACAGAAAATAAAACCGTAAAATGTCCAGATAAATGCAGAGGATGGAGCAAGAAACCAGTCATTTTGAACATCACTAAAACTCATGAGAACCCAAGAATGTAAAAGACTAGAGAAAATTCAATGTGGACTTCTAAAATAAATCCATTAATAACAATGCATACATAGGCATTTACAAAATCAACAGCTACCACTTGTAATGGGGTCTCACTTAACTCCAACATATATTTTATTTTAATTGGAAGTAACAGTGCCGCACCCAATTCTTATAATTGTAGCACTATTCACTTAGCTGTCTCAGTGATGGTGAGATAGTAAAGATATTTGACATTATGCACATAGGAACATTTGTAACTAATTTTTTGTTTTATTAACATACCTTGGTGTGCGCTTGACTTTTTTTTAGGAGATTACTAATATTGTAACTGTCTGTACACAGCTCCTCTAACTCCTTATAGAGATGAGCATTAAAAAATCCCTATAAAACTAAAAAGAACATGTCTGCACATTATGCCTTTTCAAAAAAAAGCTTAGGGGACAGCCATTCCTTGTACATTTGCCATGACAATGCTTTGACCAGTCAGACTTGGCTCGGGTGCTTTGAGTTTAAAGGAAAGCTAAGAAGTTAACTGTTTCCGGCTGCATTTTCCAGGGTAACATCTTCACCAGTCTACTTTCCAAACAATTAGCACCATCTTCTCATGCAGTATAAATTGTTGTTCCCTCTGAAATTTGGTGTTGTTGTGATGCTATCCTGATGAATGCAAGCTTTGACATCATGTCTCTTTTTCACCATTACTTTAAATCCTTTTTGCTGTACAATAAAGACTGACATAGAATTTACAGGAAAGTATTAGGTCATTCAATCCAACAGATCTTAAACTCTATACAGGCCTCCTCATACATCACTTAGCATGTTACAATCAAGTCCCAGATGAAGTTCCCCAAATTATTACAGTCCCAGACAGAATACCCCAAACTGTCTTGCTCCTGGATAAGGATGAATAAATTAGCGCCCTTCTTTTATTCACCTGCCCCCTCAGTTGGCCACAACAAGGTTAATTTACAAAGGCGCCCCTCCTTTGGGAACCAAATTAAACAGGTTTACTCAAATAAATAAGAGTGAGTTTATTACTTATTAGAACTAGGGTGCATAGTTACAGAATAGGTAGACACTTAAAAAACTGAACTGCAATGGAATTTCTTCTCTCAGAGGCTACTTTTTCAGAATTCTCTGCCCCATAGCATTGTGGAGGCTAGATCACTGAAAGTATTTAAAGAGGAGGTGAATAGTTTTGAAATATTGAGGAGTTGACGAAGATGAAGAGCCATGATATTCTTAAATGGTTGGTCAGGTTTGAAGGCTGAATGTCTCACTCCTGCTCCTATTTCTTATGTTCTAATAATATGAATACAAGTAAAAATAGAACACACATGCAAACAGATTAGAAATGAGAAGTCAGTCTAATAAAAGATAAAAGTTGTATGGGTCAATCTCTGGCTTGTTCAGAAAGAGTAATTAATTTATCATTGATAGTTAAGCAAAGAACAAAGAACAAAGAAAATTACAGCACAGGAACAGGCCCTTCGGCCCTCCAAGCCTGCGCCGATCCAGATCCTCTATCTAAACCTGTCGCCTATTTTCCAAGGATCTGTATCCCTCTGCTCCCTGCCTATTCATGTATCTGTCCAGATAAATCTTAAATGACGCTATCATGCCCACCTCTATCACCTCCGCTGGCAATGTGTTCCAGGCACCCACCACCCTCTGCGTAAAGAACTTTCCACGCATATCTCCCTTAAACTTTTCCCCTCTCACCTTGAAATCGTGACCCCTAGTAATTAAGTCCCCCACTCTGGGAAAAAGCTTCTTGCTATCCACCCTGTCTATACCTCTCATGATTTTGTAGACCTCAATCAGGTCCCCCCTCAACCTCCGTCTTTCTAATGTAAATAATTCTAATCTTCTCAACCTTTCTTCATAGCTAGCGCCCTCCATACCAGGCAACATCCTGGTGAACCTCCTCTGCACCCTCTCCAAAGCATCCACATCCTTTTGGTAATGTGGCGTCCAGCAGTCGATTTTGAGACTCTTGAATTTGCAATTTAATTGAAATTCTTTTATCCTATTTCCTTCTGATTGACTTGCTGCCTAGCTAGTTCCTAGCACTCAGAATAGAGAGTCCTTCACATGCAAGGTAGGAGTGACTAGTGGATAATTCTTCGACTGTGACCTTTGAAACATACCAGCACTCAAACCCAGACTAATACAAGTATCTCAGTCCATAGAAACATGCAATATCCTCAGTTTACTAACACACCTTCTTCCACCAGCATCACTCAGTCTTGTTGTTTATAGAGAAAAGCCTTCCAGCCTAAGCAGAATACAACCCCAACTCAAAGTTATACTCAAAAGATTTATGTTCTACATTAGGAATTATGAACCAGTATCTAACATTAATTCAGAACCTTTCAAAATACAAATTGGATAATATTAATTCTTTTCCTGCAGAAAATGAGTGATTTGAGCACTGCATACAGACTAAGCTTGGGTGCAATTCATTTGAATTCTTGACACCACTTTTCTGGAACAATGGGAGATCTTGAACGAAGTCCTTCAATTTGGGAGGTTTTTTTTCTCAGAATTCACCCATCAAAATAAAACCTGTGAATGGATCAGTGGAATTTGGTGAAAGCTCTTTTTAACAATCTCAAGTAACATCTGTGTCAATCATACTGAATTTCTTAGAAATCATCTCACTCCAAGCTAGAATATGAGCACAGTTTGGTTTCATGTTACTCCTTCTTGAGTTCTTTACCCAAACACAGGTCTGACTCACAGTGCTGCAATCTCCAGGAAGAAGGCAAGTTCAAATCTATGACAGACAGAATGGGAGTCGAACCATATGCTGTTAGCCTCAATCTAATCCACAATGTCCATCTTGCCTACATATAAGATGTTTGGTTCCGAAGAGGTCACAGTTATAGAGTTCTAAGCACCACCCAATATGTTAATGTCTTAAGGACCTGGAATGAAGAACAGCTTGAGATCTTGAAGGAGACAGAACTTTTTTTTTAATTCAATTGTGGGATGTGGGCGTTGCTGGCTGGCCAGCATTTATCGCCTGTCCCTAGCTGCCATTGAGAAATTGGTGGTGTGCTTCCTACTTGAACTGCTGCAGTCCACCTGCTGTAGGTTACCTTGCAGTTCCATTAGAGAGGGAATACCAGGATTTTGACCCAGCAACAGTGAAGGAACAGCGATATATTTCCAAGTCAGGATGGAGGGGAACTTGAAGATGGCAGTGTTCCCATATATCTGCTGTCTTTGTTCTTCTAGATGGAAGTCATTGTGGGTTTGGAAGATGCTGCCTGAAGATCTTTGTTGAATTTATGCAGTGGCAGTGCAACTTGTGGATACTTCCTGCTCCTCTGATGCTGCTTGGCCTGCTGTGTTCATCCAGCTCTACACCTTGTAATCTCAGATTCTCCAGCATCTGCAGTTCCTACTATCTCTGAAACAATCTTTTACATGCGTGTTCTAAATGGAGCTACGAATAGTGATAATAGAGGCTTCAATTTCTTTCCATCACATTGCTGACCAGGAATCTTTTCCATTGTTACCACCAGCGATTGACATGTTATGGATGGATTTACATGTTGAAACTTCATCTATTTAGCTGTACCATGAATTGGCCATCAAAATCCTGGAGTGGAACTTGATTCCTGAGCTCCCTGCTCAGAGATAAGGACACTACCCATTGATTTCTTGGTTTGATGCAATTTGACATGAAATCAGTTGAAGTGAGGGAGGGTGCAATGCTTGGCACAGATTCCAAAGCTAATGGAATCCCTGCGATGCTCCTCATTGTTTGATCAAGTCAAACTGCCACGTCAGTGACTTAGTCCTTTCCTGTACCTCAGTCATTAGTTTATCCTATTTCAATCACACCTCTCTGAAATATGAAACAATATCACGACAAAAATAAACTGGTCAAAGTCCAAAACACTCCTTATGTATACTAATGTTGTTGGAGAAAGGGAAAGGTAGGGGGGTGGGTTTGGTGGTGACTAACTAGGGATAACTAAAGCAGAGTAAGCTACAGTGCTGTCAGGAAAGCATGGCACAGAATAAATGGTTCTGGATTGTTCAGGAAAAGACCAACACAGACACCTTTAGGCCAAATAGCTCCATTCTATGCTGTAAACCTTAATGGTTTTCACACATCCTGAAAGGGGCTTAAGTA